TAACTGGACCGGGCGAAGCCGGGTATGCCAGCTAGTAGTATATAAGACAGTATAAATCTACGTATTAATGTAGAAAATTCGTGAGTGTTGATAGCACTATTATGGACCTTTATGGCCGTGAAAAATTCGTCAAATATTTTAACGTACATTTCCAATTTTCGTACATCAGCTTTATGTGAAAATGTCCCAGGTTCATCTTCTTCTCTTTGGTCGAGTTAGCGATAGTGGCGTACAACGACAAAATGGATGACCAACGTCTTAGAAGCGCAAGTGTGTCTGGCCCATCTTCAAATGGAACTGCGTCGAATTTTCGAAGGTAAGTAAGACGAATAACAGACGAATTATCTTTGTAAGTGGTGATATAACTATTGCGCGGACCTAACAAAAGTCATTGGAATTGTATTTCGAACCTTCTTTGAAAAAAGAAGAGAATTTGGATTGTAGTGAGGTATCTTGAGATACCAGTAACAGAAAATCAAAAATGGATTGCACATGATTACTAGTATTACGTTAAAGTTGATGTAATTTTGCTCTTCAGAATTTTTATGAGAGTCACGAGGTGCGAAAGGCAACCTTTGCAGATCTATCTGGTCTAAAATCTATTTTTCTTTTCGCTTTGTTTTTGAAACTTGCTGGTGAGATTAGTAACAAAGAAATTGAAAAATGTGTTTGAAAAATTTGGAAATTTCAATTCAGTCCCGAAAATTCCAGAAGCGTAGCCGAAATGTCAATGCACAGGACGAGAGGAGACCATTTGAGCGCTGCAATCGACAAAGCAGCAAGTGTGGCTTTTCCTGTGGTAAGTTTATCTTCATTTTAATAAGATCTCCACTCAAATGTGTGAATTTGCACACTATGCGTGGCAACCGACGACTTCCCTATCAAAAACTCTTCCGTAAAACAACTGTGTACTACTACCCAATACATATCCAATCAAATCAAGCTCGACGTTTCCCACAGAGAATTCAATGGAAATGAGCAGGCTATAATCATAGAAGTCGTCAAGTAGCGCGCATGGTGTGCAATCGCAACAAACTTACAAGTGACTCAACAGTGGCTATTTTCCAAACTTCATTTAGGGTTTCGCGATTTTCAACATATGCTATTGGGTTTACTATGTCACAAGAGCAAGGATGAAATTGTGACAAATATGTTACCCGCTTATCGTCGGACCTCATCCTATGCACCACGGGTGGACAGTGCCTGTAACCGTTATGGTCTTGATAAAAATTTATAGAAAAGTTTATTATGGCAAACAGAAACATAAAGATGATATTTAGTGTACGATATGCATCAGCAAATATTTACAGTCGAGATTTTTACGTAGGCGGGACACATTTGGCTGGGAGATACATGGTTGAACCCGCGCAAAAGCAAGCTAGAGCTCACATTCTTTTGATTTTCAAGGTGAGATCACATACATATGCACCAGATTAAATAAATAACTGGCGGAAAAAGAATTTACATGGAATTAGACGAGACATACTAGCGGTCGATATTTCCAATATGGAAACTTCTTTAGCTAATATTTGTAGAAAATATGTTATAAATTGAGATGAAGAGAGGCAAGCAAAGGCAAACTCGATACTAAACCGGTGATGTCAATCTTCATTCTCCAAAGGAACAAACGCTTCAGTGTCTCGACCACCAAAGATCTTCCTCTTGCCTTTTGCAAATATGACTCGGTCAGCAGCCTAAAATATACAAGCTTCTGGCAGTGCTATACATGAATATGTAAGCAAAAGAAATTACAAAATTCTGGTAATTTATAGATTGCGGAATTAGTTAGAAGCCAAGTAACACACTAAAATATTTCTAAGCTAAGTAATACCGACTTGTCTTCTCTAAAAAGAGGATCAATTTGCTTGAAAGCTGAAAATCCGTATTCTACTGACCAAATTATTGTCACCGGTCAGAGCACACTACTTACCTAATACCGTATACCTAAACTGCGTACCTAGATAGATTACTGTAGATCATTAATAAAACTTTGTTCTAGAGGATTCCATTACATTGGTGCGACAAAATAAATTTTCCGTGAACGGATATTATGCTTAAAATTCACAGTTGTGAAATTGATACTTTTGCCAATTTGATAGGAGCACCTTTCCTCAATCGTTTTGCTATAAGCTGAGCTTGAGAGCATATATTATATAGCATATGTTCATTTATACTTAGAATTGTTCATTATCCATTTTTGCTTTCAAAGGCAAGTGTTTCAAAGAAGTTTAGTAAAGCACTCACCTCGTCTTCCTCATCGTCTTCCAAGCCACAAGTTTCTGCAGCTGGTAGCTCACCATTACGGGATTCAATCAGTCGAGTGTATTTGTACTCCAATCTGTAACAAAAAATATAGTGCAGGAAAATCATAAGATGCCTGGGAGTAGAAGAGCATAGATATCAATAGAAATAAATCTGAAGTATTCGATAAAATAGTTAT